CAACAAAAAACTGTCAAGAAGGAAAAAGTGCGAATATTTTTTCTAATGGAAAAAGAAGAAACAAAAATGATGGGGATAACAACCTTAGAAAAAACCATCATATCTATAGGTAGGGAGGAAGGCCAAACGTTCACCATCATAATAATTGTCACCGAATCACTTTATCCGGAAAAGAGGTACGGACACCCCTTCGTTCATCCCAATTTCTATTATTCCCAACACATCCATATGCATAGGAAAGGAAAACAGGCGTGCAACCATTCGTTGCGCCATCAAGGAGTTACATGAAAAGACCACTAATGTGACCCATCAAGGAGAGAGAAAAGGTGCCAAGGATGACATGTCGCATGGACGCAACGCAATCGGCAAAAGAGTTATAGCTCGCAAGGCTAGCAAACATCGAAACTCGCACCCCATCTGATGCGCAAGTCGCCAGAGAAGAGTTCTTGAAGGCTGACACGCCCTTCAAAACTTGGGCGGGTTAATGTTGTGCCTAATTGATTGACGGTTAGATTTGTGCCATGCATCCCCAAGATGTGTCGAAGGATGATGGTGTGGATCCTCCCACATGTCAGTCTCAACAACACTTATCTTCTCTCACGATGATTACTACCAAAAGCATGGGTTAAGCTACCATTAACATGGTCTGACCTATAACAAGTATGGAGATTAATGACTCCGATCCTAATTAACGGAAATATCCATGCAAGCAACTCTGTAACACCCACTTTCAACCACGATCAGACGAACCAAATATAAAAGGAGCCCACAACCTCTGTTCCAGGGAATTCTAGTATTAGTAAAGTTCAAGAGAAAAATACATTGATCTTTTTAGAGAGAGTTTAGAGAGAATAGGTCGCGAGAGTCAAATGCTTTCCATTTGTCTTACGATCTTCCCTTTGTAACCTCATTCGACCCTGTAGCACCCCACAATAATAAAATGACACTGGATGTAGGTTTGGTTTCCATATCGCTGAACCACTATAAAATCTCTTTTTGTTTCTTACTTTATTACATCATTTTAGCAACCTTGCTGGTTACTAATAATCATGCACACATTTTTCCCAATTCCTTTCGTAGGGCTACAAAAAAAAATCGAAAACCAAACCAAAACCAGTCCGAAAAACCGATTATCCAGAGTAACCAGTTCGGTTTCGGTTTACAAAATTAAATAAATCAAAAAACTGGTTCAGTTAACGATTTAAAGATTAATTTTAAACGGTTAACTGTTTTTGCAAACTGGTTTATATATATACAATAAAACCTCTCTATAGTGATACTCTATATAGTCATAAAAAATTTTATTTCCAATTTGGGATAATTATAAATAAGAATAAACTCCACATTGTAATAAGTTATAATTTTTTTAATTCCCATCTTAAGAAAAGTTGCCTCCATATAGTAATAATTATCTGTATATTAAAAAAAAAAATATATGCTATCTTACATTAAAGGTTTAAAATGAAATAAAATATTTATCTAAAGTTGTTTAAATGAATGATTTATGTTTTAGAGTTGTTACCACATCTCTTAACTTGTGTGTACATTACCCGCTAGCATAGACATCTTCTTATTGAAGTCAAAATATTTCTAACTTCTCAAGCATGTTTAGGGCTTATTGACACGAAACTTTTTGTATTTCCCTACTATCATTCTCATGATTATTTCCTTTCTCTTCTTGTCTAATTGTAACAATGATTTCTTCTTCAGTTAAAATATACATATCTTGTTGCTTATTTGGATAATTGAGGAAGATATTAATATCCATTTCAATTAGTGTAGTGAAGTTGTCAAATCTGATCACTCCATTCTACTATGATTCTTTGATTCTCTTTATCCACTTTATTTGTAACTTTTAATTAATCGACATCGGGGGTCCTAATTTTGTAATGCTTAAAACAATATGCAATTGTTTATGACCTTACATTAATTTGACCATGCAGCAATTGCATTTACAATTCCATCAAGGACGCTTATCTTTATTGGTTCCAAGATACAATCTTTTATCCATTTCAAAAGTAAGCAATCGAAGTGTTGAATTGAAATCCTAATACTGTTAAAACATGAATTGAAATTCTAATACTATACTACAAAAGCATGAATTATAAAATAAGAAATTTTTGTAACTATACCTCTAAGAAGTTATAACCTCTTTATAGTAATAAAATTAGTTAGTCCCACTATTATGACTATAAAGAGGTTTTACTATATATATATATATATAAGCTCAAATCTCTAAACTTATATATTTATATACACATATAAACCCAAATCCCAAATCCCTAAACTTATAAGTTCTATTTTCTCCCTTTTCTTTCCCTCTTTCCCCTGAGATTTTCCCTCTCTCTAATTCCTTCCTCCTTCCCCAAAATTTTCTCCTCTCTCTGATTCCAAACATTTACTTTTATTCAATGTCAAAGCGTCGCAACAAACTCCATTCCCTCTTCTCTCCAGTTCGGCGATTCCCTTCACTTCTCTCCTATTCTCTCCTTACTTCCTTTTCAAATTTCTGGGGTTTGTTTTCCTCACTTTTATTTTTTAAATTAATCTCTTAATTAGTTAATTTTCCTTTCGCTTTACTGTGCCTTTACCTTCGCCGACTTGCGCTTTATGGTGATAACGAATTGGTCGCCATTTTCAGTCTTCAATTAGCATGAAACCACGACGGTGCACGACCAGAAATCAGAGGCAAAAGCGTCTTCGAGTTCACAGATGCGATTCTTTTAATTTTTGTGTATTTTGTTGGTTTTGAATTTTTTATTCGTTTTGGTTTTGTTGAAAGTTTTGATTTTGGGGTGTGTAGAGAGCGGAATTTTGGAGTGTTGTATATTATTTTTTAATACTTTAATGATCAATTTATATTTTTAGTACCTGTTACTTGAAGAAGTGGATGATTATAATTTGTTTTTGGCTGTGGGTTTTTTTTTTTTTTTTTCCTAGTGAAACCAGTTTCTACCAGTTGTATTTGATTTTTTGGGTAAGTTTGAATAATCGGTTAACTAGTTTCTAAACCGATAATTCGGTTCGGTTATAAATCTGTTTATGGGATAATTCGATCCGGTTTCAGTTTGGCATATTGCTTGAACCGAGACCAAACACCCCATCCGGTTCGGTTAACCGGATTTCCACACCCCTACCCTTTCGAGGCTAGATGGGTATTCTGGTTGGCACAAATTATCACATCAACATGTACGTAATTCAGTGTTTTGGTTTACCAAGAATGAGAGCATTTCTTTACACAAAAATACACACCTGAAGTACAAAAATTATTTAACATTTTCCAAAAGTTGTCCCAAAATAATTATTAGTCCAAACATATTATTTCTTATTGATCTATGATGGAAAAGTATCATTCTACCCTCTAAAACTTAATTATCCAAATTTCCCAAAAAATATCATATATTTGCACAACATAGCCGAGGGTTAGATGCATATTTAAATGTAGTAATACTACACTTACAAATAAAACTTACAAAGATCTTCATAAAAATAACGTGAAAAAAAATGAATGAAAGAGTGAATATAATGAGTTTGACTTTTTATTTCACTTTTCTATTCATTTTTTGTCGCTTCACTTTGTAGAGAAATCTTTATAAGATTTCTTTGTAAGTATATTATTATTGTATTTAAATTTAACAAAAAATACATTTTTCCGTAATTTTATCATTTCTAAATTCATTTAAAATCCTCTAGGGCTATAATTTAAAATTTCATATTTTTATTCTTTATTTTTATTTTATACGTATTTTTCTTTACTAAAATTTTAAAAGTTTTTGCTACAGAACTTTAATTTTGATTTCAAATCTTTCATAAGAGCTACAAAATGACATCAGCAAGAAGAAAAAAACAAAGAAAAAACAGAAAAAGAGAGAGAGAGAGAGAGAGAGAAATCATGAAAATCAATTGTGGAAATTGTCTTTGTATACCCCATTTGTATGTGTCTTTGTAAAACTAACATTACTCTTTAAAATAACATCAAGGTGAGTAGCCGCGACCTGTAGCATGGCCTCGTGGCCATTTGCGTCGTCCCCAAATGACGTGGTGTACAATAGCAGTCATAGAACTGTTGTTGTGCACCCAAATATGAAGGGTGAGAATTGTCTTTGTATGTCTCATTTATACGTGTCTTTCTAAAACTAGTATTACTCTTTAAAATAACATCAAGGTGAGTGGGCGCGACCCGCAGCATGGCCTGGTGGCCATTTGCGTCGTCCCCAAATGACATGGTGCACAACAGCAGTCATGGAGCTGTTGTTGTGCGCCCAAATGCATTGGCGCACAGCACTAGCAAAGTGGCCACTGGGCTGTGTGACCAGATGCTACGGCTCAAAACAGTAGCAAAGTGGCTGTTGCTGTGCGCCCAAAATGCTTTGGCCCACAGCAGTAGCAAAGTGGCTGTTGCTGTGCGCCCAAACGCTTTGGCCCACAGCTTCCATAACAACACCATTCCATCAACTACCTTACCTCTTACTCAACATAAAATTATAAAATGCTCCAGTCTTGACTCTAATATACCAGATGTCTCAGAAAAAATTGAATTCATAAATAAGTAATTCTACATATACAAAATCGACATATAGAACCTGCAAACATACAAAACTGACATCCCAACCCACATGACAATTGAGTTGGCAAATTGATTCAAGTACCCTTAGTTATAAAAGATGTTGCCAAATTAATTGTTATATAGGTTGAAATACAAATTTGAAATCTCAACTTTATATGTATAACATTGTTGTTCATAAATACAAATTTAATTTTAGATTTAACTTTTAAATTTGGAAAATGAGCTAATTTCTGAAAGCAAGAGAAAAGGTCCTCAAGAATTGACAAAGTATCAACATGATTCTTATCCTTAAGATTTTAATCGGATTCATTCTCCTACTAAGAATCGATCAAACTGGAATCCGGAGATTTATCCTCTTTAGTGCACAGTGCACATCTCCTGCATAAAGAAATTTGATAGCTATAACAAAAATAATAAGAGTGGCATTCAAGAGTTGATGAAGCATTGCAATAAATAATAAATAAAATTTGAAAAACTCATATTTAATCCCAGACGAGATTTAATATTACAACTAAAACCAACAGAACTGTTCCGCATCTTTAACTGCCCATATGGAAGCTTCAACTATTTAATGGCTAAATTCTTATTTTTCTTTTTGCCTCTCTTTTTAAAACTAGTTTCAGGTCCTTCTTCCTCTTCAGCCTTCTGCTCTGCCTCCAACATGGCCAACTGCAAACAAAAGTTATCCAAGTTAAACCTGTAATGGATTATACTACAATTTCGTTGATGTAAGCCTCACATAATCCATGCAACACTAAGTTTTACCTCATCAAGAATTGGTTTCAGTTCTCTGTACCGAGATTCAGCAAGATCAAAACCATCCTTACGAAGCTCCTGTAATTCCAAACACACATGACCACTTCATAAAAGCATTCATTTGAGCATTCATGTATCAGAGACAAGGCAATATTCTTATGATTTCAGTAATATGATGGCTCACTAATTGTTCCTTTGGTTCCTCATGCTGTTTTTGCACATTCTTATGTTCAAGAACCATAACATTCGGAGAAATATACTAGGGTCTTAGATCATGTTGGCTTACCACGGTAAACCAGTATCTCATAATTATGAAGGCACATAGAGCCAATTACAAACATCAATTACTGATGAATGACCCATAAAACCCAATGACCACTCTGTCCAATTATCTTAAGAGACCTCGTTCAGATGAAGTGGTGTTCCCTCTTTTATTAATTTCTAATACATTCATTTCTCCAATCAAGGTTTTCATGGCATTGCGAATTACTGCACATGTAAATAAATTTGGTCCAGCAGCAGTTTATTTGCAAACCCTCCCAGATAATTAAAAGAGACCACAAATAAAAGAAAATATGAGAAAACAATCATTACAAGGGAAAAATGGAAGATGCTTCAATAACCATTTATCACTATTCTAAAGGGGAAGAGAAAAAACAAGATTCAGTGTTGAGACACACATAGTCTGCATGATGATTATAAGCCATGCTGCGGATGGTGAAACCTGGGATAATTAGGTGCTCAAAACATATTTGGTACATTGGTTTGATGTTGAATCTAAAGTAACTCAGAATCATAGTATGATAGAAATTTCGTATTTCCACATTTGCCCACCCTCACAAACTAATTAGAGTGAACCAAACTCGAAAAGAATTAGGAAGCTTAATTTGTCTCAATTGTAACGGAGCTGAAGTAAAGTAGGGTATATACCAATTACCTGATTAAAAGGATTTCAATCATTATTCTATTTAAAATGATAAAAAAGAAGAAAGAAAATAGACCTTTCCAGTGTGTTGAGTATGCTCATGGGCCGCCATTTGCCAATACATACTTGTACGTCTATAGAAATCCTTCAAGGATTCTCCTGGCTTCACAATGAAAAACATGACAAATAATAAGATGGCAACTTGATACAAGCTGAAGCTGGCTAAACCAACCTCCATATTTTAGGAGCATGTGTAAAAGTACCATTGGGGTTCTTTGTGAATCTGAAAGGCCAAGATTAGCTCTGATCTGCTCTATCCTGGCCCGTTTCTCTTTCCTTCGAAGACTCTTTCCCTGACCCTTTATTATAGCAACAGCATCTCCCATTTGAAGAGAACCAGGACCAGCAGTCACCTAGACATGAAAGTAATGTTAAAATCATATAAACTGGCACAGGTTCATAGTACTTATTAAATGCATAACGTAAATTTCAAAACATGTGTTTTCATGTACAACTTTGCAACTCCCTTTCTTTGCACATGAGACCCTTTTCTTTCATCTTGCATAACACTAATCTTGTCATCTTTCTTGCTTCTTCAGAGCTAAAGAGTTTCTACCACATTGTTTTTAGAATAACAAACTATTTGACAGTGGAATTTCCGCAAGTCCAACTCTACCATGAATGATTTGATTAGAAATAAGATTACCTCCGGGACAATATTAACAGGTGCATATAGATGATAAAGTATTTGAGAATTTCAAAAGCACAAATATATATAAATTAATTATTAGTGGCATCTTGCTAATGATAAAATATTTATTCTCATCAGTAGGCATAATTTTGCATATTTTTGTTTTCATAAACGAAAAATAGGATCAATATACGTATAGTTCTTCTCTCCTGTGAACTTTCTAATTTTTCTAAAATTTGAACCATAACTTCTAGAACAAAAAGTCTGTTATACAGAAATTTTTTTGCAAAAAGCCTGCTGTGATAAGTTAAGCCAAAATTTTGTCTTATAGTCGAATTCTTGCTCCAAAAATCTAGGTCTAGATTTAAAAAACATCAGGACGTCACCATCTTAAAATTTTTATATATATTCTTAGGTGAAAATTTGCTGTATTTTTAAGACATATACTTAGACTTCTACAGCAAGAAATCTAAATTTTAAGGGTAGACACTTGTTTTTCATCCTCAGGCTGTTCATGCCAAAATTTTTTCCACAAATGTTGCCTGCATCACTATTAACTGATGCAGGTAACGTTAAATGCTCCCTGCAAAGAGTGTATATATAGAAATTGAGAATTCCATCATTATGGTATTAAAAAAAATAATAATAATAATAATAATTATTGTGTTTTAATTATAAAACAAATCAAGCATCACTTTATTTTTAAAAGAACCGAAGATGAATTCCTTTCTTTTTTTTTTTTTTTTTTTTCCTTTCTTCTTAGATCCTCTTATATTTGTTAATATTTAAAATCTAACTTTTTAGATGCAAAACGATAGAAACATTATTTTCATTATATAAATAGTCTTTTTTGTGTACGGTTTAATTGTACCTTTTTATTCATAGCTATCTTTTTCTTTTTCTTTTTCTTTTTAAATTTAAGAATTTTTGATAAATTTAACTTCCAATGTAGATGCAACTGTAGGGAATTATTAACTGTCAGTACTGGTTATGTATATTGGTGTTGGAGGTGCAAAATAATCAGAAACGTTCAATGCTATTAGATACTTTTAAGGAATATATATTGGTATCCCAGCATAAAAGAGGAGCTAAATTGTTTAACCAACACATGATATTTGCTGAAACAGAAAAGCAAGAAGAGGCACCTGTGCATCATCGTCTTCATCGTCATCGTCGTCATCATTCTCATCACTATTGCTATCATCGTCTTCATCATCACTATTGTCTTCATCTTCATCCTCATCTTCACCATCTGATGCAACTACCCACTCAGATTCTGATGCCTGGGTGAGAAAATGAAGGCTCAATTAGGCTAAAGTATATCAAATTCAATGCAGTAAGTTCTAAAATCATGAATAGATTCACACTTCAGATAACCAAGGAAATTAAATTTTGAATGTTGAAAAACCTTCACAAGATAAAGCTATATATAACCTTTAAAGTTGGTTTAACTAGGTCTCTGAGATTCAGTGAATTTATAATATTTAAGTTCTTCAAATACTATGATCAGGCGTTGAATCTATGCAGATAAAAATTGTAATAAGTAATCACAAATCTTAAACTATGATTTGCTATGTGGATTTTTGCACCAATTTTGCATATGTCTAGTTTATGCCACTAAGGCATCATGTAACAAATTAGCTGAATACAAATCACAGCTTCACTTTGTTATTTAATCTAGGAAAGAAAATAAAAAATAAAAAAATCCATGAGATTACAATTGATCCCTACTATCTCATGGCTGTCCTACATCACATATGTTGATGCATTCCTCCATACATCACAGTTTGTCAAGCTAAGATCTGTCAAAGCATAACATTTATTTCAGGAAAAAAAAAAAAAAAAAAAAAAGGGCAATTAACTTTTCCAATATTAAGGGAAGGCACTACAGAAATCAATACTGTACAAAATTAACAATGCAGCAAGTTTTGTTTTCACCGTGAATTGCAAATTTTCTTATGATTTAAACTAATTCCTAAATGGACTTTTCTCAATCTCTCCTCTCCCTTCGGTACCCTGCATATATTTAAAATATCGATCTATCTAGGTTCAGAAAATCAAAGCTTGAGGCTCCTGATACTGCATAAAACCCAGAAACAAAAGCAAATAACTTTTAACGAAAGAATGACAATCACAAACTATAAATCACATGACTACAGACAAAGAACAAGATGTTGTGGCAATTATAAGGAAGGAAATGTCACAAACCGGTATGAGGCACTTCCATTCATCAAGTTTGCTCAGATTGAGAGAATACATATCATCAAGTGTAATTTCCCGATCATTAATCTCCATCATTCCCCCATATATGTATAGCATATCTTTTCCGACAACCATGCACGAATTAATTCGTCCACAGGGCTTCACTATCTAAAAGTTTCCATTGATTCATAAATTAACACTTGGGCAAATGGAAATGCAGAAGAAAAAAATTCTAGCATAGTACAACAAACCTCTGGTAAAACAGAATTTTGCACATCCAATTCAGTCTTAGATTCATAAAGCTTTCCATCAGATTTATTAGCCAATCTACCGCCATCAATGGTCACGCTTGTTGGCATACACTCAGATAGTTCATCCATGCTACTTTCTATTTCATCTGTTGCTTCTTCATGGTTCTCATTCTTGTCAATTGCAGCACAGTCTTCTAATTCAATTGGATTTATTTTATCACCAAGATCCGACCCATTAGGCTTCTGCTCAGAACTCTTCTTTAACTGCTAAACACCAATATAAAAGCAACCATAAGTAGTTAGAAATATAGAATGTCAAATGAACTTCAAAACTATTTCTTTTCTTTTTTTCCAAAAAAGAAAGAAAAAAGGCTCTTTTGGAGGAACTGGAGAATTTTTTTTTTTTTTCCAGCAGCTACCCAGGTAAAGGTTTACCTTGCCTTTTGTTGACTTCTCTTTCCTTAGCTCCAAGGGATACCTACATCCAAAAGAAGTCTATCACTATAACTACAATATCACACCTCAAAAATTTATGTTGCCCATACGCAAAATCAAACTTAAATGCACCATATTGCAGAAATATCTGGCACCATTACAATTAACCATGAGGTATACTGTGGAATTACTAACATTTTTCTTTGCAAACCTAACGTTCCTCTAAATTGTGAAGCTTTTACAAATAATGAAAGACCTTATCCCATAAGCCAAAGTGCCAAATTGATATCATCACAAATGCCTGCTCAGAGGCATTGACAAGAACTCATATAATCTAGTCTATCACGGGAGGACAGAGGAGAAAGGGAGAGACAAGTTGGGGGGCCTACCATCGATGATTGTCTAATTGGAAGCCATAAAGTTCATTCAAGAATAAGCTCATTAAAACATCACCTACACAGACAAATCAAGTTACAAATATGAACAGTGATGAATTCATTGAAAAGTAAATCTCCAATGTAAGAAATAACATAACTAACTCGTCTCAGATTTACTCAACAAAGCATGCAAAGCTTACCTTCCCTTTCCATATCTACAACACCGCCAAATAGCACAGCACGCTTCTTATGAACACACATGGAAAACCCAGCACGAGGCCCAGGAGGCATCCCACTTTTCTTCACCTAATATAAAGGTAAGTATAATGTTTGCAGTGAAACAGATTGGCAAGAAAAGATATCTCACAAAAGAATAAGTTACTTCAGGAAAATTTTCCATTAAAAGTAAGGCAGTGTAAAAATTGTTTACTTAAAACCATTTACTAATTTGAAGAAGATTAGAATGAAGCTACAGCAGTCAAATGTTAACATACAAATTTTTGAATCATAGTTTCCTCAGATGCCACATGTCTCAGATACAAAAATATGATACTGAAAACTTGAGTAGCAGATACACAAACATACAGAGTGCAAGAAGAAGGCTACTTTTACCTCCTACAAATGGAAATCTTAATACAATATGAAGAATCAGAAATCATGCCAGACTCAAGTTAATAAACAATCACTTATTCAACCTAATTGAGCATAAATGCTAGCAAAATACTTGAGACACTCATGGGTGAAGATTTTAGTTAAATTATCATCAGTGTGATACTTTTATTTGTGCAGCAAATATCCGGCATAAAATATGATAAATTTATTTGAATAACACAAACATACAGAAAGAGAGATGGCAAGAAAAGGCATAGACATAACTCATACAAAACTTGCTAAACTCAAATTAGTCACATATTGATCAGTGTCATCATATATCTCATTGTAGTGAACTAAGTACACTAAAGCTGAAGAATATAATTATGTTTATTATTAAAATAAAGGTTACAATAGTAAAACTTGCAAATCCAAGGTACAACAAGTTTTAGTTTTGCTGAAATGAGTAGGTGGTTCAAATTATCTTCATTAAAAAACTATGATGATGGTCCCCTGAATTATAAAAACAAGATGATCAGGACATATAACCAAATATTTAAAGTATCCCAAGATTGGAAAATGTTTTTTCAGTGCTTACATCCATTATCAAATTCCATTATATGATTATCAATATAAGTATCTGAGCTCTATGTTAACATATTATTACAGGGAATGAATTTAAAGGCAGCATGACAAATTTCACATATGGGGGATGCAATTCTTGGACTCACTAAATCAAGCTCCTCTTCAAATCTTAACCATCGAAGATAAAAAAGAATACAAACCTTGTTCCATTCCCAAGTCTTAGGATCAAGGGACCACAAGTCTGAGTGAACAATTCCTTTCTCAGAATCATTCTTGTCAGATACAACTTCTTTGGAATAGCCACCATATAAAAATATCTGCAAGAATTAACGTAATTAGTACAGATGTGATCAGTTTGTAATTGGCATAAAGAACTATAAGTTATGCTTGGAGGAAGAACTAGGACTTAAGCATATTTAACTTTATGAAAATAAAAGATATAATAAGCAATCAAAAAAAAAAGTATGCAATACTACAAGCAAATAATTATTAGTGTAAAGGAAAAACTGTTTAATAGTTCCCCTAATTACTTCTCTAAGCATTAGAGATGACAATAAGAATGGATTTACAGAACATTAATAAACCCCTGAAGATAAACTACAATAAATTTTCCTCAAGTCCATCCAATGTAACAATCTAAATGGTAAACGATGCCCTTGTGGGCTTGCAACAGTGTTTAGGAGACAAAAGACAAAAGCAACATCTGTAATAGCCATCAATCAGAAAAAAACTTAAGCACAGCTCTGCAATGGTTCTAACAAAGTGAATATAAGCACACTCACCTCATCCTGATAGACAAAAAACTGAAAGCCACTCCTGGCACTCGGCCACATGGAACCAAGCTTAGGCTTGATTTCTTGCCACTACAATACCACATCACATTACTTTCAGTGAAGCATACGATAGAATTTAGAAACATAACATATAATGACCTCACAGTAGTATCTTACACAACGAAGCTAAATATATTCACCTTGAATTGGTCAAGGTCAAAGACATGTAAATCATTGTAATACCTGCACAAGAGTAAAAGATGCATTAACTTTTAAATGGCATATTTTAGCAATATCAAATATTACATCAGCATTCAAAGCTCCATTCAAATTAGTGATGATACATATTGCAAGTAACAATCATAGACATTAGACCTCAACGTGCAACTCCATGACAGTTATTGAAACAATAAAAAGATTCCAAAACCTTTTTTAGCCTCCACATTTTGGAATACATCTGTCCAGAATTTTGTTAGATTTTTAATGGTGCCAAATTATTGAAATATCAAAAGTTAAGAGCAGAAGAAGACAAATCAATAATCTGAACAATGTAAGTTGATCAACTCGCCAATAAGACTTAAGTGACAAAGTATTATTATTCTATAAGGTCGTTTTAGATTTTACTTACAAATAACTGTATATCACGGTTATACAAAATTAGTCTTTACAAATAAAGTGACCTTATACACATGATGATGTAGTCATCGTCACTATTAAAATGAACTAAACCCTTTTAAGAAAAGATGTACACCTAATAGTGGCCAAAAAAATGTAAAAACAGAAAACAACAAAGGAGAAAGAACTCTTTGATCCACCTTATAAATAAAGATGCACTATATATCCAACTGTTATAATACATATACCATTATACTCACATCCTTGCCACCAGTTAAATCCCTCACCACAACCCTATTCGATTGAACCCAAGCTCCTATGTCAGTTTGTTCAAATCTAAACACATTCTTTGAGAAAAGCAACCAGCCAAAGCAAATTTTCCTCAAAAAACTACAATAAAATGCATTCCTTGAATAATATAACGTATATGAAGGCAGACTGTAAACTTTGCTATATTTGTCTGTTTCAGTTAAAATGATCATCCTCAAAGAAATCATGAAGAACCTAAGCAAATGCATTGGTCTTTCGAGAAACAGTGACTCTCCTGGAAATTTTCAGAAAGAAACAGAGCTACAGCATGGTAAATCTGCTATTAAATTGTCCATAAAAGATTGGGATATAGAATGTAAAATTCAAGCAGACATAGACAACCAACACCAAAAGTATGAGTTATAACGACAGAACTCTTAACAAAAATTTGTAAGGACCCATCAACAACCTTACTTCCCTAAGAGTGTCATAGAAGCCACCAAAAACAAAAATCTTGTGCTTGTATAAAACCTGTAAAATAACCAAGGATACCAATAATAATATTAACTACTAAACCAGAAAATTATTGAGAGAGTTTGGATGAAACAGAACTTAGATTAGGGTATTTTCCCTTTCTACAACTTTTTCAATTTAGCCTTGCACCTAGTGCAATTGGCTAGAGGGCATCAAGGCTTTTCACATTTGTGGAAGTGCAGAATCTAATTTGAAATTTATTTACACAAATTTAGCCTTAGAGCTGATATATTTGTTTCTGATTTAACTGGCATTTATCAGTTGCAACCATACATGGGAACAATAATATGAAGTTGGTATATTTACCAATAAATTTATGAACATAAACTTTCAAAGAAACCTAAACTTACCATTCGATGACCTGACCGTGGACTAGGACACCCCTTCAGATTCAGTTGTTCCCATTGATTTGTCTTCAGGTCCAACATCCAAAAGTCCTGTAACAACAAAATTCAGAGGCAACACAAGATACAAAATAATTGAAATTAAAACTTAAGAGAGAAAATGAAAGCAGAAAAAACCAAGATGAAATAGGTTTCACCTTATAGTGATGGAACCGTTCTTGATTTGGGGATGTAAACTCACCACCTACCAAGAAGCAAATGCATTTACATAGGTAACAAGAGAAAAATAAGCGCTAGTGAGAGAACAAGTTTGTGAACGTAATAAGCCAAAGTTTTGCGAAGTTTACCAAAGATGTAGAGATAATTTTTCCAGGCAACTGCCTGATGAGCACTGCGAGGAGGGGGACTGTTGGGGCTCGAAATCAACTTCCACTCCTGCTTCTCCACATCATACCGATAAAGATCACCGTACACAAATGTCTGCACCAATCAAAATTTACCATATTTATTAGCAATCAGAAATAGCAACATCTATTTACTGGGAAATATAGTCATATCAAAAAGACTACCGAAATTCTAACCTTATTGCCATTGTAAAATTCACCTCCATAAAGTATTAACTCTGTCTCTTTCAATGGATTTATGTTGAGCTAAGCAATTAATCAATAAAGTCATTGTAAGAAAGGAAACTGAACCAATTCAAAATAGTCATTTATAGAAAAGATACTGAAACCAATTCAAAAACATAAATAAAATTCTGAAAACCGTAAGTAAGAACATTACTGTACAGTTAGATCGGCGAGATGGTGCGGGAACATTTTCTTCGATATGGACCTCTTTCTTCTTAGCTTCCTCTTTCTGAATACTCAACTGTGAAATAAAAATAATTGAACAAGTTAAGTAGAGGGGAAAATAAAAAAGAAATTGATTTTTGCAAATAAATAAATAAAAGAAAAGTAATTTAATGTTACAAGAATGGCGTCAATATCATCTTCAGGAGAGAGTTTCTTGGACTCCCTGCGCGCTTTCTTTTCTTCAGCTTTGGCTGTTTTTCTCTCCGTTTTTTCTTTGCCTTTCCCAGGTTTTTTGTTTTTCTTCCCCATTTTTTTGCTTCAATTCTTCGTAAACAAAACTGAAACTTTACTTTGAGCGCCGGCAGTGCAGGCGACGAGAGAGAGGCAAAAGCAGAACAGAGGTTTCAAATGATGGTGTTTCACGTTACGGCGCCGTTTTGATGAATAAAAATTTCCGCCCACCTTTTCCTCTCAATGAACGAAACGACGTAGTTTAAAGTGGAGAATTTAGCAATGTGCTTACGTTTCTTTCAAACAACAGTTGGAGCTGGAGCTGTATCGTTAACTGGAACACCAACAATGGAAGACACGTCGTTTGAACTTAAAGGAAATGTCATGGCAGACATTTCATTTGAACCCAAGAATGGCATCTCATTTGGAGTTGCAGCTGCATCATTGACTGTATGTTTCAGACATGAAAAAACTTTTGAAATGAAGGGAAAACTTGCAGGTGCGTAGGCGTAGCACGAGTTGGGGTTTCATAGAAGGCGATGATATGAAGAAAGCCTATCATAAGCTTAAACTTAGCCTCACTGAACAGTGGACTACATTGGTGTTGAATGCAAGTACAAGAACGTTAACTGGGCATGACAGTTAGCAAGAGGCAAATGTTAATGCCCCATTTATTAAGTGACAAGTAATGCATTCTTCCACTTAGCCCATTTTTGCCACGTGGTATAAAGGGTGAATTTACTTTAATGTACAACTCACTCTTAGTTAGGCTCCTCACATCCATGATAAAAGTGCGATCATGAATCATGGTAGTATATGTCTTATTACAAGAACACTTCCTCTCATGGTAGTATATGTCTTATTACAAGAACACTTCCTCTCATGTATTACGTGAATTATCGTATTTATAATGAATGATAACCCGACTTTATGAAATCATATTTAATAATTAATTATTGCGTCAATTTTATTGTCTTAAATACAATAGGCATCTATATTGTCAAAACCATATGTATACACAAAATTAATAATAGAAGACTTTAATCGAAATTTTCAAATTTACATTTGCAAAGCCTTAAAATGAATTATTAACCCAATAATTTACATAAACTCATATTGCTTACATGAGCCACACACACCTTGGGGGAAAAACCTTTGGTGAAGGGATCAACGATCATATCATTTGTGTTAATATGTTCAATTGATACATGACAATCTCGAACATCCTCTTTAACAATAAATACTTTATTTCGATGTGATGACATCGATTTACTTAACATGTGTCGTTAGAGAATCGTAAAGTTGTTGTATCATCACAAAATATTTTTATTAATCTTTCTATTGATGAGACCACCTTTAAATCTATGATAAACTATCTTAACCAGGACACCTGAGAAACTGCTTCATAACACACTACTACTTCAGCTTCCATTGTGGAATAAACTATCTTCGGTTGTTTTACACTACGCCAAGAGACTCATCTTCCAACAAGGAGAAAAGTGAAGTCTGATGTAGACCTTCTTGTGTCTTGACATCCAACATAATCTGAATCTGAATATCCCATTAACTTCAAGTCATCAACATGCTTATAGACAAGCATGTGATCTTTTGTCCCTTGAAGATTTCTCAATACCATTTTTACTGCTATTCAGTGGGTTAGACTAGGATTTTGTTGAAACCTACCCAAAACTCTCACTACATATAAAATGTGAGGTCTTGTGCAAACTTGAGCATAATTTAGACTTTCTATTTCAGAAGCACAGTAAGTATTCTTCATGGATTAATGCTCTAAATCAGTCTTCAAACATTGTTCAAGACTAAGCTTGTCTCTTCTTTAACAATAGATGTTACACTTGATGAACAGTGTTTCATATTGAGATACTCTAAAACCTTTTCAATGTAACCCCTTCGAGGCAATCTTAAGGTCTTTAATGACTTGTCTCAGTGAATCTCTATGCCTAAGACATAAAAAGCTTCATCCATATCCTTCATATCAAAGTTGTGAGTTAAAAGTTGTTTTGTTTCATGTAGCATTCCAAGATCATTGCTAGCTAAGAGAATGGCATCCACGTATGGTAAAAGTATAACAAAACTACCTCCTTTTATCTTGATGTACATGCATTAATCAACTTGAGTTTCTATGAAGCCAAATGGCAAAATAGTTTTATCAAACTTTAAATATCATTGTCTTGAAACTTGCTTCAAGTCATATATGGATCTCTTGAGCTTACAAACTAAATGATCTTTTTTGTCCGAAGTGAATCCTTCAGGCTGATCTATGTATACCTCCTCCCCTAAATCGCCATTTAGAAATGCAGTTTTGATATCCATTTGATGTAAATCAAGATCATAATGAGCTACCAATGCCCAAAATTATTCACAGAGAGTTTTTTCTAGATACCAGAGAGAAGGTTTCATGGTGATCAAATCCAACTCTCTGGTTATAACCTTTCACGACAAGTCAGGTCTTGTGTCTATCAATTCTACCTTGCGAGTCCCGTTTTGTTTTGTAGACCCACTTACACCTCACAATGAAAGTATTTTTATGTAGATCAACAAGATCCCAAACTTGGTTCCATGCTATGGATTCCATTTCATCCTTCATGGCATTACACCATGAAATGGAATCTCTGCATTTCACTGCTTTCGAAAAAGATGTCGGATCTTCAATAATACCCCACATCTATTTCAAATTCTTGGAGATATACTTGGTAATCTGAAGAGAATGTTGACTTTTTAGTTCTTGAAGATCTCCTTAGACTTTGTTCTATATTTTCATTTTCTTGAATTTGAACAACCGGTTTGACAAAAACTTGCTCTTAATGTGGTACTATATCGTGAATTTGTTTTCCATGAGCCACAAGTAAAAGGATTAATCTTTCACCTTCAGTTGTAGCAAGATTTTCAATTGCCTTTGAGTTTGAACCATTGAGATCAATGTTTCAAGATTGAACACTCCCACTATTATTATTAATATTTAGAAACTTAGCAACCTTTGATTCCACAACTGTAAGGGAATTTGAGGGACAATAAAACTTGTAACCCTTTGATTTTTTAGAATAACTAATGAAGTATCCATTGATTGTCCTTGAGTCTAATTTTCAAAGATGTGGATTACATATTCTAATTTCAGCCGGACAACCCCACACTTAAGTGTGTCACATATTAGGTTTTCATCATTTTCATAAGTCAAATGGTGTTTTAGGAACTGCTTTAGATGGTACCCTGTTCAAAATGTATACAACTATTTTGAGAGCTTCACTCTATAGGTTTGAAGGTAAATTAGAGTTACATATTATACTTCTAACCATGTCCATGAGACTATGATTCCTTCTTGCAACAACATCATTTTTATTTGGTTATCTAGACATGGTATATTGTGCTTGAATACCTTACTCTTGAAGGCATTGTGTAAACGGATAGGCAATTGATCATATTCTGTGGTTCTATCGTAATATTCTCCACCTCTATCTGATCTTACAATTTTGATCATTTTTTCCTTTTTGTTTCTCTACTTCTATCTTGTATATCTTAAAAGCATTTAATGTTTCGTCTTTATGATGTAAAAGGTAAAGGTAATAAATCTTGAATGATCATCAATGAAAAAGATAAAATATCTCTGACCATTTAGACAAGGTGTGAGCAGTCTAGAAATATCATTATGTATGATTTCTAAGTTCTCATTTGATCTTTTGGCAACCCTTTTTAGTCTATTTGGTCATTTTTCCCTTTATAAAGTTGATACAATAATTCAGATCGATGGAATCAAGAGTCTCAAGTACCTCATCATTTTTCAACTATTTAATTCTTTCAATTTATATATGTTCCAAACGTCGGTGCTATAAATTTCTAGATTTCTCATTCAAATATAATCTTTTAGTGCCAATATGATTAATAGAAAGTAAATTACTTTCAAATGTTGGATCTAAATTTAAAACAAATAGGTCATTTAATAAAGAACCACGACTTACAATTATGTCATTTTTACAAATACGAAAATTGAATAAATAAAACTAACTTCATAATCCTCATAAGTTAATTTAGATATAGAAATTAAGTTCTTTGCAAAAGTAGGAACATAAAAAGGTGTTTTTTTAAATCCAACACATGTCTAGAATCAAGTACTAATCTATAAACTCATATGGCTTCAACTTGAGGTATTGTCTTGTTCCCAGCATAATATTATTTCTCATTTTGCCTGAGAGTTCTTGTTTGCAAGAAACCTCGCAAAATGATGGCAACATAAATTGTAGAACTATAATCAATCCACCAATTATCAGAATGAGTATCTAATAATTAGATTCATAACATATCATAAACAAAAAATTACTTTTATCTTTCTTGTCAATTTCTTTACTCACCAACCATTGTTTATACTTTAGATAGTCCTTCTTCGTATGTCCTTTCTTCTTATAGAAAAGAACACTGGGGAGAAACTTTAATGCCAGATGACTTCATTGGTATCTTCCACTTATAATTTTTAAAAAGACTTGTCTTTAGAGTTGTTGGTTGTGAGGTGCAAACTTTCTACGCCCTCACTTTTTCGTCTTTTCTCCTCTTGAACACACGACTGATAATTCATTCACTGACTTATTCTGTGTTGCAAATTACCTTAAGGTTGCGTTTGGTTCAGACAATATTTTATTTCCAAAAAATAGGATTATTAGTGATATAGATAACCTTGAAGATTAATAAAAAAAACTTAAAAAAGCAAAAAAAAATAGATTAATAGGTATAAATTATTATTGTGTTTGGTTCGTATTGATTGTACAAATAATTAATGTGTTTGATTAAAAATAATTATAAAATATTTAAATATTATTTTATTGAAATGCACTTTAGAAGATTAATAGATATAAAATAATAGTATGTTTGGTTAAACAGGTCCACTTTTGGCAATGCCACATATGGAGGATATTTCAATTCGCACGTATTCTATCCATAATCCATGAACAAAAAAAGAAAGAAAATATATTAATTACTCTGTTATTTTTTTAAACATATAAATAGCTAAACAAAAGAAAAAATCAAAACCCAGGACCATCACCGTTCATCACTTCCCACCACCCACAATGTAACAGCGACACCATCCCTCAACCCACCGTCACAGTTCATCACCACCCATTCACAACCCCACCTCTCAATCAGCAGATCAACCATAAAAACAA